AAAAAAAAAAGTATGAGTTGTAGGCTTGTAGCTTTTGAAACGTGTCGGTTTTTTCTGCATACTTGCTAATAGCAACACAATCAAATTAATAAATGATATTAATTGTTTCAATTCTAAAATTTTAAAGGATTACTCTCCCGTATATTATAGTCATTAAGTACTCAAATACAAGCTGTTATCTACACGAAAACGATTGTAAATTTTGAAATTCATATGTTCACACATTTTTGTATCAAATAGAAGCCCACGGAAACCAAAGTCATCTGTCTTTTAATATAATAGTATAAGCTTCAACATTACGATTAATAAAACACAATATGAAATAAATGCAGAATCAAGAAACAACTACTAAAATAAAAAAACTAGCCAATCAATAAAATGCAATCTACAACTTCAGAGACAAGTCTAATTCAGAATCATCCTTGGAATCATCAGTTTCCGATTGATCTTGTTTCTCGCCTTGCTCGTTATTCAAATGAATGCTGCCCTCTAGGTTTGAAATCAAATCTTTGGACAAATCTTCGGTATTTTGGCACGAGAGCTGAGACAGGAGAGGGATATGTGAATTCATGCTAAGCCCTCTGTATCCTAATCCTAATCGACATCTGAAGATGTTGAACGGATAGGCCTTATTAGATTTAGCAATGTTAGGATTGTAACGGACGCCAAGATCATACCGCGAGCTACTGCTGTTGTAGGAGTTAGCACTTGGTGTGTATTGACTATAGAAAGAGAGTCCAGGATAGTTGGTTCCATTCTCTTTACGCCTTTTGGCCAATGATCGCTCTTGCTTGTGAGCGTTCTGATGTCCTCCCAAGGCTTGTGAAGTAGAGAACTCTTTCTTGCAGTAGGTGCAAGCAAACACCCTTGCTTTAGACTCGTTCTTCGTCCCTTGTGCCCCATCATCTAATATACCGAAACTAGAGTTTCTTCTTATATTATTCTCATTGAACAAGAAGCGAAACTCTAGCCTCGGAGTCTCCATCGCTGGCTCGGCCACAAACTTCTCTTTCGTTTTCCCCTTGGTATCGGTTGAAAAACCGGTCCGGGGGATGATGACCTCATGAGAAGATGATGAGGTACTCCTGGAGGAACATGATGTAGGGGTAGTGAGGCTGAGTTCCATGGTCAAAGGAACAAAAAGGAGTTTTGGTTTGTGTCTGAATAATGAGATGAGATTAGAGAGGAACACGAGTGCTTCTATTTATTGATGATCATTAGGAGGGCTAATGATTAATGTCAATAAAATCTTGATAATTATGGTAGAAAATCCCAAGTTTAGCAAGAAACATTCAAGTAAACGGCTTATTTAGACTAATTTTTGCCTTATGCCTTTGATTCTTTGAATATTTTCTTCAAGATTTATGCCCCATAACTTTTCTTCATTCCCATTTTCATCACTACAATTCTTTCTTTCCTTTTCTCTCTGCTTTCAGATTATCAATTAATCTCTTTATTTGGTAATAACTTTCTTAACTTTTGTCGGTTTCAATTCACACTTTCTTTATTTTGAAATACTAAAATGAGGTAAATGTCATATTTGGTTAGGAAACATAAGTTCAATGCTTAGTTGTATGTGAATCTGTATTAAACCAAGATTAAGCAAGTTGCATTTACTGATCTTTTTGTTTTGAATTCAAAAGTAGAAACTTCAGTTTTATTTTTGTATTTAAGGATACGTTACATTTCTTTTTCTCCATCTTACTTAGCTGGATTTTCATTGAAATGGAATATTTATATTTTGCTGGATGTTTATTAGGGAAATTTATGAGAAATGCCATC